TCAATAAATGACTCTTAGCCTTTCTGTGCCTCAAATTCCTCACCTGAAAAATGGGTATAATCAAAGTGTCTGATAGGATGGTTTTGACAATTAAATGAAATAATACTTGTAAGCGTTGAGATCAGTGGTAACCACGTAGTCTTCTGGCTAATGTCATTTGTAACCCATCTCCTTCTCTTGCTGCCTTTACTCTTTAACTGCTGTCAGAGGAAGGCAGAGGGTTGAGCTGAACACAGTAAAATGCACGCTTAGCAAAAATGTTTGCAGGTGGAGATTTCGCTTCGATGCTAAGATTTTGGCTCTCTTTTGTGAAGGTCAGTATAATTTTATTCATGATCAGCTTGCTCCCAAAATATCTCCTGGGTTGTATTAACTGAAAAGGAAAAAAGTAAGGTTTTTTATTTTTTATTTTTTGCTCTTTTGCTTGTTTTGTGACTTAATATGCTCAAGTGGCATTGAATTCATTGAGATAATCCGAGGTACACAGAGGCTGTGACATGATCCACCCTCACTGGAGTCAAGGATGATTGGGGGAGGGGGGTGGGAAGGGGTTGGCCCAGGCGAATACACAAGGGCAGAGTCCCAGTTCTGTGATGTCAATCTTGTACCAAATTTCAGCGGGCATTATTTTCTACAGGAAATGAAATGTTAGAGCGTTTCAAATCTAGAACAGGGCTGGGTAAACGGCATAACTTTTGTTGTTGTTCTGATTGGTGTGAAATGTTGGGCTGCTTCTCCTGCAAGGTGAATCGGAAAGTCTTGCTAGAAATGTGGCTTCCGCCACCGCTTGGAGGGGAGAGTGTGATTTGTTTGCCAAAGGCCCTGGTAGCCTTCAATCTGTCAAAACGTTGCAAGCTGGGAGCAGTTTGCCAAAGCAAACTATCAAAGTGGAATAACACACGAGTCGCACACACACAGACACGCACATGCTCTCCCATTCCCCAAACATTAATTTCGAATTGGGTCAGGAGGAGCAAGAATTTGGGCCAGGTTGTCAGTGTTTTAAAGAGCTGTGGGCACAGCTATGGACTAGCAATTAGACAGGTATGTGCGAGCAGGCTGAGGTGTCCTAAAACGGAGTCTACAGAGTAGGGGTGGGAACCTTACAGCCCTTGGCCGAGTTTCATCTGGCCCCTGGGGTTATATATTGCTCTGGCTGGTGTGATTGCAGCCCAAAGAATAATTTCCCCTCTGGGGGAATTTATTCTATTCCATTCAGAGCAGAGCCCATTTACTAACTAAGGTTTTATTCCAGCAAGAATTTTATTGGGTATCCCTATGCATTTTAGCCTCACTGGGGCCCAGCTTGATGAAGAGAAGAAGCATCTGAACATCTAAACATAACTTGCGTAGCATTTTTGCAACAAAAGCACCAACAAGCATCCTGCTGCCAGACCTTGTGTAAATCCTATGAGGATGAATTTTTGGAAAGTCACGTAGAGACTCAAACGCACACTGATTCTTATAAATCCCTCCTAAAAGAGCTTTGCAAAGCTCCCAAAGTTACTTTGGACATTTTGAAATCCATTAATCCACACTCTTTCCACTTATCTTGAAATTTCACAGGTCATAAGAGGATGAAGCCTCATTCATTAAATCAATGAATTAAGCTCTTCCTATGTAGCAGATACTTTCCGAGGTGCTGGGAGATAAAGTAGTAACAAAACAGACTCCCTGATCTCGTGGACCTTATATCCTAGTGGGCAGAGGAAGAAATTTAAGTGAATAAAGACATCCTATGTGAAATGGAAAGTGCTGTGGAGAAAGAGAAGTAGGCTGGGCTGGGAGAGGAAGTCCTGTTTTATGTAGGGTCAGGGAAGCCTTATGGAGAAGAGACACCTTTGGGCAGACACCTGAACGTGGGGAGGGAAGGAGCTGTAACCATATCTGGGAGTAGAGTTGACCAGGCAACCCTAGAATGCAGTCCCTCCAAGACAACAGGAAACCTAGAATTTTCCCTTCTCCCATCTTTCACTCTCTCTCCCACTCCAAGTCCCCCGACTGTTATGGAAGTGCAGCCTGGGATGAGTGGTTATGCAAAACGGCTCCTGATTGCATTACAAATATGTGGCTTAGGTGTGTGCCAAGAACTTTGAGGGGCTGAGGTGTAACGCATTTCTGGAGCTGCTGTTTGTTTTCTTAACAAAACCACACCAATCTGGTTTTCTTTTTAAATGAGTAAACAGTGCCAGAATGTGTTACAAATGATTCAGATTTGTAGGCACGGCTTCATAAGGTGCTTTCTTGCGCATGAACTCATTTGAGGTAGGCGGGGCGGGTTCTGTTATTCCCATGTTACAGATGAAGAAACTGAGGTGCAGAGGTGCTTTGCCCAAGGTCATGTAACCAAGGAGCACAAGGTTGTATCCAGTAAGGATACAACTAGAAAAATAACTGTTCTTTTCCCATCACTGTGTTCACACCCACTCCTTTTGATACCCCTGCCCCGTGCCTGGAAGACAGCTTAGGCAGTTTTCTGGTCCATTGCAGGCTTAATGAGCAGTCTCTCTTTCAAGTATCAAAAGGCCCCAAAAGATGTGTGTATGTGAGGGAGGGGGTAGCTTTAATGGTTGAATGCCCATCCTTCTAGAAGTTTTAGTTTTCCTTCAGTAGCTTTAGCTTTTGTTTTCCTTGAGTACTTTCTGGGTGAATCTAAGGCATCAGTAACTTCACCATCCAGGCGTGCACCCTTAGCCCCCTGTGTGCCGAGCAGCACAGATCCGTGTGCCTGTGCCTTGGACAGTACAGAGAGAGAACATTTCCATTGTTGTAGAAAGTTCTCTTGGACAGCACTGGCCTAGAGCCTCAGCAAGTTTTAAATCATTCTTTGATTCTTTTCACCACTAATTTTATATTTTTCTGAATAGATTCCTTACTTGGAAGGATTTCATGTACAGATATGCTACATTAAAAGAAAGTCTAGTCAGATATAAAATCTTCAGTCTCTCATCCAATTTAAAGCTTCTTTCTTCCCCCCATCCTGGGCCTGGTCTGGCCTCAGACCCCTGTAGTGGGAAGAGAGGGCTTGGCTGTTTCTTCACACTCTTAGTTCCCCTCTGTGCCCCGCTCCCTCTGGTCCTCATTAGTTCCTCCAGGACAGAGCAGGGGAGGGGACAGATAGCTGGGCAAAGAGGATCTCAATAGCATCAGTGCCCGCTGTCATCTGGTGTTGCTGTCCTGGCTTGGCTGATGTTATGTTGTGGATTCTCCTCTCAGGGCCCTTTGGTTGGTCCTTTGGAGAACCTCCCCCTCACTGGGATCTCCTGTTGCTCATGCCCTGGTTCAGGCTGTGCGAGAACTGGCTGCCTCTTTATCCCGCCTCCCCCAGCTCCCGGGCCCCATGGGTACGCACCACACATCACCTGTCTTTTGGTGAGCGATCTGCTTTGATGAGGTCCTTGCCAGAGGACCTGAGTCCTGCTTTCCATGGGAGAACTCCAGCTTTCCTTGCCCCTTTAAGCTCCAGGTACGTAGGCTGCTCCCACCCCAGCCCTCTCGCACCGCTCCGCCCTCCTAGACACTCCAGCCAGGTTTTGGCCTTTAAATACGTTTCAGGGGAAAATCAAGCACCGCGCCTTATACCCCAAACCCAGGGGGTCCAGATCAAGCTCTTGAATGGTAGCCCTCCTTGTTTGGCTGGGAAGAGTTCCAACTTTTCCTCCCCTAAGGGGAGTGGAGGGGCTGTGCTCAGCATTCCTGCATCCCTAGCAAACTTCTCCCATTCACCAGCCCACACCCCACTCCTTGCTCAGCCTGAAGGTTTAGGGTGAGGGGCTGCGGGACAGGATGGGTGGGGGCAGAGGGTCCTGAGTACACGGTGCAGCCCTTCTCTTTGGAACGTGTGTGTATGTCATCCCGTTGTTTCTTAGCTTTGGGACTTCAGTGCAACTCTAAGACAGCAACAAAAAGGATGCATGGAACACCTTGGTACATATCCCTTCCGCCTGCTTCTTGTCCCACCACACGGTCTTTAACCAGTCCGGCCACATCCATTCTGTGTGTTCTGTAGGACCGGTCTCATTTTCAGGCACAGTGAGGGTTAGGGTGGAATTTAGGGTTCTCAGAGATGGTGGGAGATTTTCTAGCTCCACAGGCCTTACCCCCCAGATTCACACAGGTATTCCTCATGCCCGCCTCTACACAGTGAGTTTTCCTTTGGACAAGGGCATGTTTCACATCTCTCAGTTATGTTAGAGGCCTCAAAAAGGTTGAGAAGCACTGGGTTACCTAACTGCCCTCAGGGTTAAACCCTTAAAAGAAGGATTCAAGGGCTTCCCTGCTGGCGCAGTGGTTGAGACAGATGGGAATGGCGGAGTTGGGATTCTGGCCTCGATGTGTTTGAATCCAAAGCTTCACGCTCTCCCAGCATACCCTGCTGTCTCGGGGCCAGCTGGCTCCTATTTCTACACCTTCTCTTTATTTGATGACAAGCCTTAATCAGGGCTGGTGACAGTGGGGCTTAACACAGCTAATCCCACCCATGGAGAAGCATATCTGACACTAAAAGCCCAAGGACGGGCAGAGGAATGGTTCCGAGGAAAGCCTGGAATGAGGGAGAGGAACTTCCCTTGGAGAAGCTGCCCCCCTTCTGGCCTGACCTTACCACCTCCACGAGGACCAAGCATGCACGAGCACTTACTCTGTACCAGGGCACGGTGTGTTATCTGATACAGGCCTCCCCAGACCTCCAGCCAGCTTCTGTGGTATCCCCATCTTACAAGGGAGGAGACTGAGGCTCAAAGAGGTTAAATGTCCTGACTTGGAAACCTTGCCGGTAAGCGGTAAAGTGGGGTTTGATCCCAAGTCTGCCTCATGCCACAGCTCCGCCCGCAGCTGTCTCCTCTCCTGCGGGGCCCTTTGCATCTTCACTGGGTCACATCCAGGGCCTGGGTTGCACTGTGCTCTCCCTTCCGGTGACGAGACGGAGATGCGCCTTCTGCTGGATGCTGCTGCCTGGAATACACTCACAAGCCCTGCCTGTTGCTGTTTTTCTTTCTCAGTGTCCTGGGTTCCCTCCTGCTTCTTGGATTCCAGCTCGTCTGCCCACAGCCCTCCACTGAACACAGAAAGGTAAGCCACGGCCGTTCAGAGGCTTTCCTTCTCTGCCCGAGGGCCTGGGGTTGGACCAGTCATCACCACCTTGAGCTTTGTTCTGTTTGGAGGTTGAGTCACCACTGATTCTCAGAGGAAGCACCATTCATAGGATGTTCACCAGTCTTCCTATCCTTCCGAAGTTCTTGATCTTCAAAATGAAGCTGGTGCCCAGAGTCAGTCTCTGATCCGAAAGCAGTGCTGGCTTTGTAGCCCGTGTGCATTAGAGTGGGGCAGTTAAGGAGAGATGAGTGAGCAGACTCTACCTCCCCTAGGGGTGGAGGAGCTTCGGCACGGAGCCTTTACCCCCGCTAGGGGCACCTCAGGGGGATGCGTGTGGATGGTTAGAGACAGAGCTGCAGCTAAAGCTGAGGCTGTAGCCATGTAAGAGCGCCCCTCGGAGGGAGCCATCCGTGATCTTCGGTTAGAAGGACACAGCAGCCAGCGGCCAGGCGGGGGGCGGGGAGGGGAGCAGGGAAATAAGGACCCGGCCCTCTTTTACCTCCTCCCCTCCATCTCCTGCTGCTGACTCCCTAAACCTGAATCCAACCAAAGGACAGAAGACAGAAAACTCCCTTAATGCAGTGCCCAAAGGCCAGCCTCCTGGGCAACAGGGCTGGGTGGAGAAGGGTGGACAGAGCATCTGGAGGGACAAACGGACAGTAGCAGGCATGCTTCCCTTCAGGCTCTGTGTGTTTCATAGTAAAGGAATTATTCACTGCTGCCTAAACAAGCCCAATGCTGTCCTGCAACAGAGCACTTGTGTGATTAATAGTTCCTGAGAAACAGATGCATGATATGACTTCGGGAGGGTCCCTAAAATCCCTTTCTCCTACCTAGGAACTCCTTATGTCTACAGGTAATGAAATGCAGATACTTCTGAGAGGACCCATAGGTCAGTCATTTGTATCTAACTGTGACTGTGTTGGTTGGAACCTTTCCTAGAGGGGCTTTTCATAGGTGAAGTCCAGGAGAGAAGGGGGCCAAGAAGAGAGTATGTGTACAGGTTTGCCTAGATATGCACCTTCTTGGGAGAAGTTCTTGATGTTCTTGTCTGATTAGTCTGATTTATCTTAGGTCTGTGGGTTATGTTCTGACTTTGTCTTTCTGGGCCAGATGTGAACCTGTATTGTGTCATGTCCCCCATAGGGTGTCAGCTCCATGAAGGTGGGATCTTACCTGTCTTGTTCACTCCCCAATTTCCACCTCCTGGAATACAGCCTGGCCTGTTGTAGGTGCTCAATAAAATACTTGCTGAAAGACTGACTGAATGAATGGAAAACATGGCCAAGATCTAAGCATCATTTTGTTGGAGTCACTTGGCAATTTACACCCCTTTTACTGTACTGCATCATCCCCATTCATGATTTCAAGAGTCAGAGAGGACAACTCTGATAGATTGAATGTTTGTGTCCTCCCTGCCCCCCAGGTTGGTGTGTTGAAACCTAAACCCCTATATGATGGTATTTGGAGGTGGGACCTTTGGGAGGTGATTAGGTGATGGAGTGGGGTCCTCATGAATGGGATTAGTGCCCTTGTTAGCGTTATGGGAGAGCTTGCTGCCCCACCGTGCGAGGATACAAGGAGAAGTCTGCACCCCGGAGGTTGGCACTGTGCTGGCACTCTGACCTCGGACATCTAGACTTCAGAACTATGAGAAATCAATTTCTGTTCTTTATAAGCCACTCAGTCTATGATATTCTGTTTTAGCAGCTCAAACGGACTAAGACAAAAATCGGCACTGAGAAGTGGTGGTGCTGCTATAACAAATACCTAAAACGTGGAAGTGGCATTGGAATTGGGTAATTGGAATTGGAGGAGTTTTGAAGTGCATGTTAGAAAAAGCCTATGTTGCCATGAATGGACTTTTAAAGGCGATTCGGGTGAGAGCTGAGAAAGAAAAGAGGGGAGCTCAATCTTCCCAGAGAATACCTAAGTAATCCCGAATAAAATATTGGTAGAAATATGGAGGTTAAAGGCCATTCTGATGGGGTCTCAGATGGAAATGAGGAACACGTTATTGGAAACTGGAGGAAAGGCTGTGCTTGTTATAAAGTGGCAGAGAACTTGGCTTGTTCCTGTTCTGGTGTTTTGTGGCAGGTAGAACTTGCAAGTGATGAAATTAGATATTTAGCCAAAGAAATCTAAGCAAAGTGTTGAAGGAGTGACCTGGTTTCTCTTGACTGCTCATAGTAAAAAGTGAGAAGAGAAAAATGACTTAAAGATGGAACTGTTAACTGGAAAGGAAGCAGAACACAGAACTTAAAGATTTTGGAAAATCTTCAGCAGATCCGTATTGAAAAGATTGAGAAAGCCTGTCCAGGGAAGGATACTACGGGTGTGGTTGAGAGACCGTTTGATAAGGCAGTTAGTCAGTTATCTTGACAGACGCCAGGAGCTATTTATTGTCCAGGACAGTGGAAGAATGCAAAGGGGGCTGCAGTGCCTTCCAGATCTGGCTCATCTCCGCATCACCTCGCTTGGCGGTTTCCACTCCCCACACTCACTCCGAGCTCCTCAGCTGCGCCAGGAGCTGCTCCAGTGGGCCGGGGAAGGGTCTGGGCTGTGCCCAGCAGAGCCTTGGGGGCATGACTGCCTCCACCCAGATTTCAAAGGACAAGGCTTGAGCCCAGGTCCCAGGACCCCAACCTTGGAGAACCACAGTGGGGGCAGGGCAGCCTGGAACTTTGGGGCCCCAACCCGTGCAGGTAGGACCATGGGCCCAGTGGGCCTGGAAGGCAGAGCATGGAGCCAAAGAGGATTATTCTTAAGCCTTTATGGAATTTCCCCGGGTGGGATTTGGACTTTCTTCTTTCCTCATTCTCCCATTTGGAATGGGAATGTCTCTCCTGTGCCTGTCTTACCGTTGTATTTTGGAAGCACATAACATGTTTGATGTCACATATTCACAGCTGGAGAGCAATCTGCTTCAGGAAGAATCATACCTTGAGTCTCACCTATATCTGATTTAGGTGACATTTAGATGAGACTCTGGGCCTAGAGTTTAATAATGATGCTGGAACCAGTTAAGACTTTCAGGGTTACTGGAATGGAATGAATGTGTTTTGCTTGCAAGAAGAGTGTGAATTGTGGGGGCCCAGGGATGGGATGCTATAGACCAAATGTGTCCCCGCAAATTCATTTGTTGAAACTTAATCCCCAGTGTGATGATATTTGGAGGTGGAGCCTTTGGGAGGTGATTAGGTCAGGAGGAGATAAATGCCCTTATAAAAAAGGTCCCAGAGGGATCTCTAACCTCCTCTGCTATGTGAGGACACAGGGAGAACATTGCTGTCAGTGAACCAGGAAACAGGTTCTCCTCAGACACCAAATCCACAGGCCCCTTAATCTTGGACATCCCAGACTCCAAAATTGTGAAAAATAAATTTAAGTTTTCCATAAACCACACAGTCTATAGTATTTTTGTTATAGCAGCTGGATCAGACTAAGACAACTGTCTATTTTCATTATTATGTTGTATTATCTATTAGTGTTCAGGGTTAATCAGGGTTGTTAATCCTAATAGTTGAATCAATCTACCGGTGTTCTTTTTTTTTTTGCTGTTATTCAAATAGACCGTCATACCTGAAAATGTTTTATAAATGGTCAATTTACTTTGCTGTTTCTCTTAATTTTTCAAGTTAGCCTGAATGATATAAATGTAGCCTGAACAAAAGGTTCACAAAAAGGTATTGCCTCCATATTTCTTTCTTTTTCTTTTTTTAATGATGTTTATTCTCTTTACCAAGCTGTACCATAATGTGCTTGGTAAGCCTCCATATTTCTTAAAGAAAATATTTGTTCATAAATCAAAAAAAATGATTTATGAATGACTTTAGAATGTTGAATTTAAAAATTGAGCAAAAAGTTTCACATCTTGGTGTATGGTTCCTCCTTGTCAAAATATTAAAAACTTTGCAGTAGAAAGTTAAATTAAATAAATTATTTTTTCAAAATAATGTATAGATTCCTTTACTTGGAAAACATGCATTTTAGGACAGTTTTTCGATATAATTATATGCATTTTAGCTGCCAGGATCATTGTCATTGTCATTCACCCCAGAGAAGAAAAGACTCAGTGCTTTCTTGGGTGGTGAATTTCTTCTTGACATTTTATTGGAGCTCTGTGGAGCTGTGACTGTCATCCTGCCTGGCTATATCCCCAAAATCCTGGAGCACAAGCAGTACTGGCAGTAGTAGCATCCATTTATTTCTGCAACATAAGAAATAAGGAGATACTTATTAAAACAGGGGTTGGAAATGTTTTTCCATAAATGACCAGTTGTGACTATTTTAGGCTTTCTGGGCTACAAAGTCTCTGTCACAACTAGTCAGCTCTGCTTTTGTAGCACAAAAGCAGCAATAGATAACATGTAAATAAATGTACATGGCTGTGTTCCAATGAAACTTTATTTACAAAAAACTGGATTTGCCCCATGGCCCGCCATTTGCTAGGCAGTGCTCTAAAGTCGGGTAGAGAGAGGTTAACTGTAATTACTGTATATGTGTTTTGAAGTTGGAAATTGTCTCCTCCTGGGACCTTAAGGAACACAAAGGATTTGAGAAAAAAAAAAGTATATTTTTTCATTAAAACCTAAGAATTATGATTGCTATCCAGTTGTTTTCATTACTTAGACAAATCATAATTGAATTCCTGCTGACTGTTTTGTGGCAAGGTCCACTCTCAATCTGTAGTAGAGAGCAGCAGCAAGAATTAGAAAACCATTTATGGTAAATTCTTAAGGGACAGCATTACTGATTTGTGCATACTGTAGTTTAGTATGCGTATGAAAACTACCCTCTAAAATACATCTCTTTTCCTTTCTCATTTATTATAGCGTGTCCAACTTTAGCATATGGAAGCATTTCTACAGTGTAAGTTATTCTGAGGAAAAGACATAATTTGTAAATTCTGTCAAGTAAACTATGCATTTCTAAATGCTGCTTGGGTGACTGCATACATCTCTGTAAAAACTGTC